TATGTAGTTTAACGTGTGTAAATGTGCAGTGGTGTATGCTGTACATGTGTGCATGTGTGTTGTTTGGTTCTGTGTGTGTGAATACGTGTGTGTGTGTGTGTGTGTGTGTGTGTGTGTGGTGCATATGTATGCATGAATGTGTATGGTTAGTGTTTTGATTCCCGGCATCACATGTATTCTATACATACACATTATATGTGTATGTAGGCATTTGTTACGTGTATGTACAGCGTGTGTGTCTGATTTAGTGCATGTACATTTCTATGTGCTGTAAGTATGTAGCCTGTGAGCTTGCACGTGCGTGTGTTTGCGTGTAGTGTGTTTATGTCTGTATTGTGTATGTGTGTAGTGTGTGTGATGTGTGTGCGCTAGATGTGCATTTGTGTCGTGTTCCCTGTACGATACCTGTGTGTAGTGTATGCTTGTGCTGTATACTGAGATCAGTTTATGTGTTGTGTATGTGCCCGAGTTTTTCTGCATCGTGTGTGAATATGTGGATATAGTGTGAGTAGGTTTATCTGAATGTGTATGTGTGTGCAGTGTATGTAAAGTATATGTGTCATGTGTGCGCATGTGTGTATGCAGGCCAGAGGTTAACATCAGTGCCTTCCTTGATTGCTCTTCACTGTCTCAAGCAGGGACAGCACACTCCTGCCTGCAGGTCACAGAGGAGAGTTTTTAAACATTGCAGGTCAGGAGAGAAACTCGAATGTGTTGTCCAGGAACTTATGCAACCGTTTAAAACACACCCTAGGGTGTGGTTCGATGGGAGAAGGCCCTGGTTTCCATTCCTGGCATCATATGTATAATATATATGCGTATGTGTATCAAAATATATATTATGTATGTACACACGTATGTATGTATGTGTGTATGTGTGTATGTATGTGTGTATATGGGGGTCTCTGGGCAACAGTCACTGAGGAATTTACTTTAGTGTCCCTTTCCATGAGAGTTGCCTCGGGCTTTTCATGCTCTCTGCCTCCAGGTGGCCACTTCTTCGCTAGGCCCTTGTGCAGCTAGTGAACTTGCTCTCTTGCTGGAGTCTGTCAATGGTGGGGACTGATTTCCTTTTCTTGTCTTATTGCATTGGCTTGGTCTTTCAGTGCATGAGGTGGGAGCTCCCTTTTTCTACTTCAACAGCCAATTGGACAGCCAGTGTTGAGTTTGTAGATCCCCTTTCCGAGCCACCGTAAGGTGACTTCCTTTCCTAATAACCTGACTATTGCTAATATCTGGAACAGAAGTTAATTTTTAGTAACTGATACGTGGGGGATCATGCAGTCTTTTAATCCTTTGTTTTATGAATTGCATATATTAAACTAATCTTATATTCTTAAGATAAATGCTGCTCAGTCGTGATTTATCAATCTATGTAAACATAACTAGATAAAAGTTTGTTACTATCTCGATTTTATAAATTTATAGGCATGATGATGCTTTCTACCATACCTTCCAAATAGTTTTGGTCTTTGGCTAGGAATGTGGTTTTGCTGGTTTTGGAAAAGGCTTTTGTTAGGAAAAATTAGTTTCTACCAGGTTTTGGGAATGACTCCTGGTGAGTTCCAGATGTGAGTCCTGATTTTGCTGGTTTGAGACACATTCTCCATTATGGTTTACAGGACTGACCTTCCCATTTAACTCTTGGGACATGTTTCTTGTGGAATTAATTCTAATTTCTCCTCTTAGCCAAGGTAGAATCTACTTGCAGAGTTGAAATGTTTCCTTGATACAGACTTTAATTTTATCCATAGTAATAAACAAATCTGGCTGTTTCTTTGCCTTTTGGCCAAGATCAAGTATTAATATGGATCAGAGTTTTTTCTCAAGTTAGTTTTGGTAAAGTTTATGTTTGTAGATTCTCAATGCTTTTGGTATGAAACACATCACACACTCCCTCACATAATTTCTTAGCGTTCATATGATTGATTGGTCAGAGCCATCTTTTCATCTTAGAATCGGTTATCTGCTGCTTCTGTCTTTTTTCTTACCTAGAATGATCAACTTTGCCATTTAAGAGCTGACTTCTGTCACAGATCTTACAACTTTAAGATTGCCTAGTCCTCCCTCTCTTCCCCCTTTCTCTTTGCTATTTTTTTCTGTTTTACTTGAGCCTCATCTTCTACTCTTTTGGTAATTTTTAGGGTTGGGTACTTTGGAGACGGTTTTATTTCTTTATCCCATTGTCCATTAAGCCCAGACATTCCACTTGGTGTACTCCACTAGTTTTATTATTCAGGCAACATATTGTCTAATTTACATTTCAGTTCTTTTCTACCAGGGGATAATAACAAGGCTTGACTTACAAACCTATGGAGACTTTCAAGTTATGTTCTTTGCTATTGATTCTTAGCTTAATTGCTCGAACATTAAAAAAATAATAATAATCCACAACCCAGGCTTGTTTGGACTTTAAATCTTGCAACTCTAGTGTGGCTTTTTTGGGGTTAAAACTTGGAGCTTGTCTTTCTGTGGTTAGAGGTCACACCCATAGAAGAACCCACCTGAGCAGCCGTGGGTTCTGGGTTTCAAACTTCTCTGCACAACGTTGAGCTTCCTGACTGTTTGGCTCCCTTACGTTTCCTCGCTGCACTTTGTCCATTATTCACAGATGGACAAATGTTAACGTTTGCAGTGGATGCACACTTGCTTGCTGCTTCTCCCTTTAATTCTATCAACTTTGCTGTGAACAGCTTGAAGTCACATACGTGCACACCAATTCAGGGCTCGCATATCTTCTCATCTCTGTGAAGTGCCCCCTTTGCATGATGCTTTATCTTGGTCTGTTTGTCTGATGTCAACAGAGCTGCCTCCAGCTTTCTTCTGGTTGTTATTTACACAGTTTTTTGGTTTTTTTCCCCCTAGGATTTTACTTTCAACCTGTCTCCATTCTTAGGCCTTCAAGATGTGTATTTAGCAAGCTGTACCTAGCAGGGTTTTTACTTATTCAATGTGTCAACATGTTTTCCTTTATTTGTATGTTAACATGTCTTCATTTTTATAATTACTGATGTATTTGTAAGCATACCATCTTACTGCAAGAGAAATATATTAGCCCATCTGTTCTGTGTTTTCCTTTCTCCTTTCTTGAATTTATTATCTTTGAACACATAGACATACACACACAGTCTTATGACTCTCAGGGATTTCTCAAAGACTTTAGAATAAGTATTTTTTTTTTAAAGGAAGGCTTTATTTTTAAAATATTTAAATATTCAGTTTTATAGGTGTATGAGTGTTTTTCCTGCAAATACATACGTGTATGATTGTGTGTGGTGCCTGCAAAGGCCAGAAGAGGTGTTGGATCCCCTGGAACTAGAGCTGAAAGGAGCTGTGAGCCACTGTATGTGTGTGGGGAACTGAACTTCGGTCCGCTGGAAGAACATTAAGTGCTTTTAACCGTGGAACCATCTCTCGAGCCCCTTATCTTATCATCAAAACATAACAGAAGCTGAACATCTCTTATCAGAAAACTCAACATCTGAAATGTTTTGAGCACCATCCACCTAAAATGGAAAATTCCACACCTGACCTTGTGTGCTAGGTCACAGTACACACACACACACACACACACACACACTGGCACAGCTGCAGGCTATGTGTACAAAGTGTAGATGAAACAGATGAATCCTGTGTTTAGCCTTGGGTGATGTCCCCAAGATGCCTCACTGTAGACTCCAGCAAATATTCTAAAATCTGAAAAAGTCAGAAACCCTCTGGCTGCAAACATCAGCTTAAATTAAAATTGGATCCATAAAATTCCACACGGTTCTCAATCTTCCTGTATGCTGTGACCCTTTAACACAGTTTCTCATGCTTTGGTGACCTCCAACCATAAAATTTTTTTGTTGCTACTTCATAACTGTAATTTTGCTGCTGGTGATCTCCTTTACACTCAGTGGGAAAGACCGTCCTTCCAAGGTTCTGCTCCTATTTGGAAACAAGACTAAAACCCAATTCCTGCTTCCCCAGAGTGAGTTCCTTGGTACACCTGTCCCACAAGCTGATCCGTGAAGGGTTCCATGGTCAGATGTATTTTTGGAAATTTGCAGATTTTCTCCCACAAAGAGGCTTTCACAGGCAGACTCAGTTGTGGAAGGTTCTGGGCAAGCTCATACCAAAGGATGCGTTTAACTTTGCACAGCTAACTTCGGGTCCTCTGGGCATTTCCTGGGGAGCCCCCATGCAGCCGCCTAAGACCGTGACTATGGAACCACACACAGTCTGAGGGACCTGGCATGCTTCCCTCTCCAATCATGCTGGTTTTCTCAGGGTCTCTCTACTGCAGGCACCCAGGCTGCAAGCTCTCTGCTGGCTCCAGTCCTGATGCCTTGAGGCTAATGCAGCCACCCAGGGTTCCCAGCACAAACAAGAATGGAACTGAGAGCATGTGGGGTGTCATGGAGGCTGCCAGGAGTCTGGTCAGATTACCGGAGAGTGCAGGAGCCCCTCCTCATTCATCATCACTCTCTCCCTCCCCTCATTTATCCATCTGTCCCTGCTCTCCCCTCTTCTTTTTCTCCCTTTCCCCACCTCTCTCCCTACCATTCCCATCTCAGTTTCTTCCTGTCTGTTGTCCCCTTCCCCGATATCTCTCGTAACTCTGAATTATTCTTGCCCTGGTTTCCCCAGCCTCGGGGACCTGCTTTGTTTGCCAATCTTCCTGGCCTTCAAAGTGAGTGACTATAGCAGGCAGGACGCCCTGAGAGTCCAGGCCACGTACAGAACTTGTGGTTTATAGCTCAAGGTAGAAGCATGAATACGACGAAGGGCATAATGGTGGCGGTTTGGTGGACTGGCCTGCTCAGATATCCTACCCATGGGGGTGAGTCTACCTCAGAATAATGCAGAGGCTGGGAGTGATGATATGCCTTTGATGGGCAAAGCCAAAGAGATGTCAACTCGCACCTTCCATGAGCCAGGAAAAGGCTCTGCCTGGAATCCTCCCGGCTCCCCGACAGAGCAAGGGACACCTTAGCTCTGGACCTGCGTCCTCTTACCTTGTGTCCAAAGTGTGGGGATGAAGTCTGGGCTACCAGCAGTCGCACCATGGCATCCCATTGCTCAGCAGTCTGTCGTTCCCGTGCAGTCACGGTAAAGGCCACCTGCTCTGAGGGGATCTTCAGCTCCCGAGTGGCAAAGACTGTCCCATCCGCCCCGACTTTGAAGTCCAAGCTGTTGGTCTCATACTGTGTCCCTTTGGTGCCCAAGCAGCTGCTGAATTTGACTGTAAGAGGAGAAAAGATGGTCAGGGTGACCAGCAGACAGAAGCTGCAACATATCTGGTACAACGTCTGGATCCCCAAGTAGCCCTAAGACAGTAAGGACCTCACGGGGGTCTCCTCTGTCTTCCAGAAGAAGTAACTGGAGGCCAGAAAAAAAGGACAGAAGGATGTTCAGGCACCCACCCTCCAAACCCAGGCAGAACCCTTCACTCCTGTCACAGTTTCTGCACCATGCAGAACCTGTGTGGCTCAGTGGGAGCAGGAGTCTCCACCCTCTGACCCCCACATTCCCACTTCTAGCCTCATAGCAGTCTCTGCCTGTCAGGGCAGATGACCCAGTCTTTTGGGTCTGTTTTTGTGCCCAAGACGGCTATGTGCCATGGAGGAACCAGTGAAAGCTGATGTGTCAGGGTTCTTCCCTGACATCAGGAACATTCCGGAAATGGGATTGGCCTTTCTGTGACTTAGTAAGACCTGACACTTGTCAGCCACCTGTGTCCTGCTGGGGCAGAGGCAGGATAACAGGCCTTGCTTAGCCACAACCTTCCTTGGTTAGTCGCAGAGGTAGCAGATAGCGCAACTACGGTGTTTTGCATCATTTTGCTTCCAAACATTAATTAGGCAACGAAACTGTCAGCCCCTCCTGACGGCCAGTGCTGCAGCCATTTCTAACTCCGCTACAGAAAGAGACATCTCCAAGTCTGCATATTTATCTGGGCCATGTTAGTGCATTTTTTTAGACACATGCTTTTGTGCCTGTCACCCAATGCCTCGGTAAATTATGAAGCACCAACAGCTGGTGTCACATTTTGCTGATAAAAGCAATGGATAAAGTTACCCAGTATTTATAAAAATGTGGGTATCTAAGCAATTATGGTGGGAGGATTGGTTTTATAAGCAATTCCACTGTCACAGCTTACATGATTTAATTACTATTTATTCTAGAAACTAAAAAAAGCGACTTGCAGTTACATTTGATAAAGTGTTTTCCTGCATGTTCACCTTTTATTGTTGCCTGCCTTGAAATAAGAAATAACTCGGGTTCTCTTGTCTCGAATCATTCACTACAGATGTCTCCCCAGTTCCTGGTCCTGCTTGTCTGTCAGTCTGTTTGGTTTATTAAGACAGGGTTTCTCTGTGCAGCCTTGGCTGTTCTGGAACTTTCTTTGTAGATCAGGCTGGCCTTGAACTCAGAGAGTCACGTGCCTCTGTCTCTCAAGTACTGGGATTAAAGGCATGCACCACTATGCCTAGCTTGAGAATGTTTTTAAGTATAATGAGACCAGGAATTTCTGCTCTGTCAGGGGGCAGAGTGGCACAGGTTCTGGCTGTGTCTTCTGAGGGTCAGGGTTCTAAGCATCTCTGTGGTCAAGCACCCTTGAAGTGGGAACCAGGTTTTCACTCTATCAGAGGCAACAAAGCATTCTCCCACACTTTACACCATCAAAGGGTCTGGGTCCTCAAATAACTTGAGGTCATTGCAACATTACTTGTATTATTGTGGGTTTGACTCTGCCCCCTGACAGAGTAGAAATGACTGGTTTCATTATATTTAAAAACACTTTCAAGCCTGGCATAGTGGCACACACCTTTAATCCTGGCACTCAGAGAAGCAGAGACAGGCAGATCTCTGAGTTTGAGGCCTGCCTGGTTTGCAGAGTGAGTTCCAACAACACTCCATAAGGGAGGTGTAGTCCACCATGATCGGGAGACGCAAGAATGACCCTTACTCCATGAGCCTGCTGCCCAACTCATAAGAATACATGAAGCGTCTTAAAAATCACAAGGCAGGGCTGGTTGCAGAAGTGGCTCATGGATAAAGGCATGGGCCATGAAGCCATATGACCTGAGTTTGATCCCTGGGATCCATATGTTGGAAGAAGGGAACTGACCCCCATACTTGTCTTCTACATGCACACTGCAGCTTGTGCTGTCCCCTCCCCCACACAAACGAGTAAGTAAATAATGAAGAAATGTGTTAAGGCCACAAGGCAGAGCCCACTGGACTGTGCCACACTTTGGGGCAGCTCACCCCCAGTCTCTCTGGAAGGGGTTGGTTTTGCTTTGCTTCATGACTTTCTGCTTAACCTATCTGTGTCTCCCAACCAAATTTTTTCTCTCCAGAGGACAAGGACTAGATGGAAGATCCCTGGAAGTTTCTCTGGAGGACAGGGGTTGGGTTGTGGCTTCCTGGCACTGTTTACTTTTCCATCAAAGAAAAAACTTTTGTTTTGTTTTTCAAAGTGAAAAGAAATGAGCAAACTCTTGGCCCCAGTCACAATCAAATTAAAATCAGCAACTGATCCAGTGGGCCTGTCATTGTTGACCCGAAACTGCTACCAACAGAGATAAAGATGACAGTGGTCGTGGAGAGATCAGCACAAAACACTCAGATAAGCCTCTGTGTTCTAAAGGTCATTTCCTAGAAAAGCCAGTGGCACCTGGCAGCACTGGGGACTGATCTCTTACACCCTCCCCGTGGTGGTGACAGGGAGCTCTCCGGAATCAGGGGGGTGACAATGAAAGCTCCATGTCAGGCTAAAGTCCCTTTGGGCATCTGTAGAGGACTCCAGCAGGAGTCCCGTGTGCTGTGTGCGAGCCTGTGTGGGAAAACCAGACTATAGAGGCCAAGGTCACACCCAGAGTGATCAGGGCTAGAAGCAGAGGTGAATCCCCTTGAAACAAAGGACCTGTTAGCAGGATTCACTTATCAGTAAAGCCCCAAACCGCTTGCTCTAGAGCCAAACCATCACAAATGCATCCCTTCTCTTTCCATATTGGGTATTATTTTATTTTTTGAGATAGGGTCTCACTCCTTAGCCCAAGTCTGGCTTCACACCCACAGAGATATTCTTGCTTCCTGAGCATTGGCATTACAGCAACATCTCGAGCACTGTACCTGGTGTCAGGGCACTTAGAGTATCTATCTTTATATAGCTCAAACAGTAATTGGTGCAGCAAGCTGATGCCCTTGGACCGCTCCTGACACCAGGGGTCAAATCTCACCTCTCAGACTCCTCTCAGAGTCCCCTGTGTGGGAGTGGCCCTCCCTTCATCACCAGTTCTGAAAACAGGGAGTCCCGTACTCCCTGAACATGAGCACACAGCCGTCACAGTGGGTCTCAGCAGCCCAGCATTTCTTTTGTTTCTCCAGAAGGCTTCAGATCCCTCCGTTCAAAATGTGCCCCTACAATTCTCCTGTCCTCCCCCCGCCCCTGGCCCAGTAGCACAGGTGTAGCCATGCTCAGAGATGCGTTCCATGCACCCCACATCCTGGTCACCTTGCACTACAGAAAGAAGCTCAGCTTTCAGCAGGAGGCTGGCTTTTAACCTTTCGCCTTTTTTTTCTTTTTTTTTTTTTTCACTTTTAGATGCTGGCTCTGTGGATGGAGCTGAGGTGGCACACATTTGGTGGGGCTCCTCCTCAGCAGAGGTGGCCTGACATTCATGGAGGCAGCAGACAGCATCTCACCAAGACAGAGCGTGGCAGAATTGTGCTGCATCTGCGAACACGTCATTTTATTATTCCCCTTGTTAGGTGAGTTGAGAAAGATCAAACGAGCCAGACGTGAGCTTGCAGCTGGATCCTTGTAGAGGAACAGACAGCTTTCTGCCTGCTGTTCAGCTCACAGAACCACCATTCTTACTCCATCTCCCCCCTCCTCTTTCCCACAATTGCCCAGGGCCTCCCTACCATCCAGCCAGGGCTCTAGGTGTGGACAGGAAGGCTCAGAGTTTGCTCAAGTGGGCCTTGGTGTGCAGAGGACAATAAATGGATAAGCTAACATATAAATAAAACTCCAGTGGCCAGGACAACACGGGAGATAAGAGGGGCCAATGCAGAGGAAGTGTCTGTCCTTCCTCAGTCTTAGAGGAAATGTCCTGAGGTAGGACAGCAGTGCAAAGGCCCTGAGACAGCCCTGGTTTAGGTATGACCTTGTGGACGTATGGTTGCTGATAAAGAACCCACTAGAAACAAGCTCTTCCTTAGTGTGACATGAGCAGTTAGCCTGGCAGGGTCATGCACTGGTGCTCCCACCCAGTCCCGCCATATGGACCCTGCTCTCTTCCACCTGCATCTTCGTCTTGTACCTGCTGTGATGCGGGGCCAGAGCATCCATCATTAGATGAGGAACTGCTAAGCATCACAGCCAGGCACCCGCTAGCAGTCTCTGCCTTGCAGTTTGCTGCAGCACGCATCCTTGGCTCCCACATGAGAGTCCATGCAGAGAGGAGCATGCATTGGGGTTCCTGAGGGCACTGGGCACCATGATGCCCTGGAATATCACGGCAGAAGCCACAGAGCCTCCTCAGAGCAGGGCAGCAGGGGATTTGGGACATGTGACTTGGTACTGCTAGGTTTTGTTATGGGGTCTGGTGGGGTAGAGCTGAGGCTCTTGTCTGAGTAGAGATTGCTTCTCACTCCCACCAAACCTAGGCTGGAAATGGGTGGCGTGTCACTAGAGCTGCACACAGGCTCCTAGAACCCCTGCAGGGGTCTGTTTCGAGAATTCCTCCCCTGGGGAGATGGATCTACCCTCTCCGTATGAGGTCCCAGTGACACACTACAGTAAGATTCCACAAAATGCACCCGGGGAACTAATGAGTTGGGCTTGCTTACAGAACATGGGTGATTTTTTTTTTCTGTAGGATTGTGATTGTCCCCAAAGGAGCCACACTAGGAAAACCTCACCCAGCATAGGTGGAGACTCCCCCCTCCTCCAGCGGAGCCGCCCCAGCCTATGCACTCTAACGTTGCCTGATCCCCAGGCCATGTACAACTAGGACAGAAGGCACACAGATGAAATGGGAGGTTCAGGAGGCATCTGCCGGAATCTCAGGTGAGGGCCCCATGACCTCCCTGACCCTCCTTTTCATTGGGAAAGTCAACAGTCAACAGACTCCCCTCATGATGAGCTCTTGCAAGCGAACACGACAGAGCTGTTGAAGATGGTGGCTAATTTGCATGAAGGATTACTTTCTGCCAAGTTCATCCAGATGT